TAAAGCAAACAGTTTAAATCGAATTCGAGGGGTAAAAACGGCCGATAAGTTGTATATGGCGAGTTGACTGCCAATGGAGAAAAGCAAATAAAACCGCCGATGAAGCTTTAAAGAGGGACTTCCCCCTATCTCCCTCGAAATGAAGGAATGGGCGTGTCGCGAGTGCTGTACGAACTAACTTTCTCCCCCGACATTCATTGCTGGCTCGTGTTAGCACGAATTAGCGGCTGCACCGTTGCTTCATGTTTTGAGTCGCTAAATCGGATTAAACCTGTCTAGTTGCGTGATCAACCATTTATCGCAGATACGTCTTCAGGAGGAAGCGAATTGTTTGGAGTAGAATACCCACACAAACACTTGTACAGCGGCAGAAATTTCTTGGTGCAAGTATATCTCTCCTGCGAGTGTACAAAGTCGAATGAAACCAAGCAAAGTACAGCACGTGTGCGAAGATGCATAAAGGAAGGATAAAGCATTTGCCGTTGATCAATCCCTTTTTGGGATGCGGCACGCATTCTACTTCCATTTGTACATTCGTAGTGGCGTTTGAATGCGATGTGGCCTATACAATGACTTGCGGGGGCCAGCCGATGTACAAGTCAGTGCATTTTATCCTCCAGACAAGTCTGGTACCAATTCGTGCCACTTGCTGCTACACCTCTGCCGCCCTACACGCTAAATATGAATACTGTTCTCATAAATTGCTGCACTTTTACAGCTGTAATGTTGCGGAAATTTGTCTGACATATGGAAGAGTATTTCGAAATACACACAGATAAATACAATACAAGTATATATAATAGCTTCAGATATTTACTTTACTTTACTTTACAGGAAGAAATTCTCTCTCCCTGGCAGAAGGCAGTTAAAAAAGCAGGTGCCGGAACGGAAACGAAATTAGTAGCTGTTCGACAGAATCCAACTCCTGCAGTTTCAATGGGTAGTTTGGAACTTATAAAATCGTGGGAAAAGAAGAGAAGTGGAGCATCCGATTCAATATCTGAAAAATCATCTTCTGAATATACTGGAACACAGTTGACAGAAAGGTTAACGAGGAGTCAAGACAGCCTTGACAAATCTGAAGACGATCGTATCTGGACCAACTTGAAGAAGCCAGTAGCCAGATCAGTTGAGGTCCATTTCTTTACATTCTTGTCTTATCTCTTATTAATTTGGCTCCGCTCGCTACCCTGCGGCGAAGTTAGTAGTGAGCACGGCGGCGGCACGCATTCTTTTACATAATGTATCTGCCTGTTGTTATAGATGAAAGGTTATTATGGTGATGGTGATAAGGCAGTCATTTCTCGCAGCTCATCAATACCCATAAACATCCATCATTTTTCGGAAAAGCAACATGGTCTAGCGGCCGAATAAGCGCTGGATAACTAATACAATTGTTCGAGCTCATGATAGTTGTTTACGCTATCAGGATTTAGCACAACAACTACCATCCTTCGAAAGTTGGGATTGCTTAGCGGTCTTATGGCGGTGGCATTGAAATAGAAACACTGACACTATCCACAAACGCCGACCATCCTGAGAAGCTCGGAGAAATGAACGGTTCAGTGAACCTCGACCGTGACGACCGATTAGTTAATCGCAAACGAATTGGAATGCATCTCTTTAATCGCGCATTATTAGGTTGTCTCATAAATAGTGTCGCTTTTTTTCAACCAGAAAATTTTGATCTAAATCCCCATGCTTTTACAGAGAGTTATATACCATTCAAAAGAGAATTGTCTGCTCTACAAAATATCGTGTTCTTCTTCCATCTATGTTCAATGGTTTTCAAATTTGAGGCATGCGAAATGGGAGGTCCCGCGACAAAAATTGACCAAACCGACAACTAGCTCTAACTTTATGTTCCCTTCGGAGAAATCAATCAATGATGTACCCTCTACTTACTCATGACCTCTTCTGAACATTCCACCCTTAGGTTGCCGAAAAAGGTTTGCCCTGTTTCTTTTCGAATTGGCCAACCGATAAGTCATGGCAATTTTCAAATTGAAATTCTTCCTCTGAAACGCTATTGTTTTATATCAACTGGTATATCTTTTGTGAGCACTTCTTCTGCTTTATTCGCTCATTTGTTTTGTTTTGATGTTTGTTAGGAATTAGCTCGAATTTTAGGGTTTAGGAGTAAGGTGCTTTGTCCACAAAAGTGACCGCATTTCTTTGAAAGAAATTATCCTTGAGGAGATGAGAAAACCAACCAGGCGTACATTCCTAACTTAGTCACGACTTGTTCTTGAAATTCTACTAGTTTTTCAATGTCTCGGCTGTAAAAAAATTTCGACCTCGATCTCAGGTAATGGTGCTCAACCGTCGAGTTCTGGTTGAAAAACCGGGTCTGGAAATGGAATGATGCGACTTGTGGGAAACCTAATAGTGTGTTAGGATTGATTGATTTCTCCGAAGGGAACATAAAGTTAGAGCTAGTTGTCGGTTTGGTCAATTTTTGTCGGCGGGACCTCCCATTTCACAGGCTTAAAATTTGAAAACCATGGAACATAGATGGAAGAAGAACACGATATTTTGTAGAGCAGACAATTCTCTTTCGAATGGTATATGATTCGATGTAAAAGCATGAGGATTTGGATGAAAATTTTTTGGTTAAAAAAAAGCGACACTGTTTATGAGACAACATATAATATATATATTA